AAACAATTAATCAGCAATTTTATCTGGAGATTGTTGGCTAGGGCACTGGGAGAAACTCCACATATAATAGAATATATTGTGACAAGAAGTATTAATTGACCATCTGATATTTTCCCCACAAAATATACAGTCAATTCACTTTATAGTATATTCTGTGATGCGCTTTGGGATGTCTCGAAGAAGTGATAAGGCGCTATATCAAACGCAAGGATTATTATTATTATCTGGAGGTATAAAATACCACTGCAGTGACATTGAACTGGATGTGGTTGCATTACAAAGGGAAAAGCAAATAAAGTTTAACTCCAGTGGATCCATAAACATTAATGGATTCAAGTTGCAGTAGTTGGGGCATGGAATTCTTTGTTTGGTTTAAATACTCTTAGTATGCGGAAACCCATCACCAGGCTTAAGAGTATCCAAACCAAACTTAGAATTCCATGCCCCAACTACTGCAACTTGAAGGAACCCTATTGTGAAACCAGATTGCATCACACACAAGATTTCTTAATTGTGGAATACTGTTAAGAAATAGTTCAAATTTACCCCAAAATTGGGGGAAGAAATTTTTGTTTCTTCGTGAAAATCTGCCTCAATAACAACAGATTAAAGCAAAGCTCTGGGTTCAAAAATCCATGATTGCAACTGGAGTAGGGCTGAGCTAGCATTGATTGAGGGGTATACTAATACCAGTGGTGATTAAGCAACAACAACAAATTACATTTGTATAGTGCCTTTCACGTCAGAAGGACATCCCAAGTTGCTGAACACAGGAAGGAGGGGCATGTAGCCTCTCAACACAATATATTTGCACCATTTCACGTGGTACTTATTACCAGGATCACATTATGAAATGCTACATATTTCAGCCCAAAACATGAGACAGCTGGCAAAACAAGCCCAAAATTCAATAATAATATTAATCCTTCAGGTAGATAAGGCTGTAAAAAGGGCAAATGGGATTCTAGGCTTTATAAATAGGGGCATAGAGTACAAGAGTCAGGAGGTTATGATTAACCTATATAAAACACTGGTTAGGCCTCAGTTAGAATACTGCGCCCAGTTCTGGGCACTGCACTATAGGAAGGATGTGAAGGCATTGGAAAGGGTGCAGAGGAGATTTACAAGGATGGTACCAGGAATGAGGGACCTTGATTATGAGGAAAGGCTAGAGAGGCTTGGATTATTCTCATTGGAGCAGAGAAGGTTACGAGGAGACCTAATAGATGTCTTCAAAATCATGAGGGGATTTGATAGGTTAGAAAGGGAAAAACTGTCTCCACTGGTGGATGTGTCGGTGACTCGAGGTCACAGATTCAAAATAGTATCTAAAAGAAGCAGAGGGGAGGTGAGAAGAAATTTTTTCACGCAGCGAGTTGTTTGAATCTGGAACGCATTGCCTGAAAGGGTGGTCGAGGCCGATTCAATAACTACTTTCAAAAACGCGGTGGATGGGTATTTGAGCACGGGTTTGCAGGATTATAGGGAAAGGACTGGGGAGTGGGATTGACATTAATTGCTCTATTCAAAGAGCCGGCACAAACTTGATGGGCCAAATGGCCTCTTTTTGTGCTGTACGATTCTATGATTCTATGATTTTATATAGTGCTTTTCACATCTTCTAGATGTCTCAAAGCACTTCACAGAATATGTTGTAAAGTGAATTGACTTTATATTTGTGGCGAAACACGGCAGCCAATTGTGCACAGCAGTGTCCCACAAACAGCCATGGATTGATTGACCAAATTATTATTATTTAATGCATAATAGTGAAATATAATACTTTTCTGAATAAAAGTAAAGTGCTTGGTACTTTTTGTGGAAGCAGACGTATCTTATCTTTGAAGACATAATTTTATATATGACTCAAATATATCATATCTCATGTGCATATCTATTCCCTTCTGAAGCTCCAGGGAACAGAGCCTGAAGCAAAATAGGGTCAATGGAGGCCAAGCTGGGTACCTGACGAACACATAACTTTTGTGTTGCACTATTCACTAACCGTTCCTTTGGACACAAGACTCTATTCTCAGCAGATAACAGAAGCAAGTATTTGATGGATATGAAATATGTTCATATGCTGGAGTCAGCCACTGCCACCAGCCATATAGGGGCCAGGAGCCAACTGCAAGAGGCTGAATGGAAGGCCTGTAACAATTACAAGTGACATTAGGTAATCACAGTAAAGCAACCAATGTCAGCTCACTTTACTTCCAGATCAAATGGGGCCACTATACCAGCAAGCTAAACCAGACATTACACATAAATGATCAGCACAGTGGTGTTGAACCAGAACTGAGTGTGCTGAGCAAAATGACCATTCTTCTGGGGGTTCATTCAGTCTTCACCTAATGCTAATCAAATTGTGGCAGCACAAGAGAAGGTCAATATCTGTGTCTCCAGTCACCATTATCACAGCATGAGCTTTTACAATCAAGCCACCTATGGACTTCTTTGTTTGATGCTCCACATTGAGCAGAAAAAAAGGTCATTGATCAACACAATCAATTTGGATTACCATTACAGACAGATGGATCTTTACTTAACCCATCTAATTTATATGCCTTACTAGTTTGTCTCCACAACAAGTAATATACAAAGGCAATTTTTTTATGGCTGGATCTGGGAAAACCCAAAGCAGATTTAGACCGGTTGTTTGTGCCAGAACATGTGCTTAACATATAGTTTCCCAGCAAATGAGGCACGTATAAGAGTCAGGTAGAAGATCACTGAGATAGGTAGGTACTAGATTTGAAGGGATTTATAAGTGAGGAAGTGAACCTTAAAATTATAGCCATGGATGGTGAAAGATACTGTGCGTATCGCTGAATGACATTTTTAACCACAGCTGTGGATAGGATAGGGCTCATCAGTGATCCCTTTCTCTACCCCCATACAATGAAATAGCCTGCCTGAACTCACTGTCAAGATCAGACATTTAATTATGGCTTTTTACTTTGGGTAATGTAGGGTGAAATGCATCATAGAACTGTAGCCTGAGGACAGTAAAAGAATCAAAAGCCTTTGGGAACAGAAGGAGTTGTGAGAAAGCCTTAGAAAAATGCAGTTTCATATATCAAAGCAGCAAAATGTAGCCCAAAACTTGAGTGAGCTTTCACTCTCTGAGAGGGATTTCATTGCAAAGGGCCAGTACTTGTCCAGCGAGGTTTGCAATATTTGTTAAGGGTTTATTCAAAGGATTGAGGACATGTCTACACCTCCAAGTTTCATAGATTGATAGGCTAGACAATCAGCTTCAATAGGGTTTAATACCTGTTAATTCATAATAGGAGTCACAAAAACAACTCTTGCGGGAAACCAGAATTGGGTGATGTGACTGACTGGGGACTCCTGGGAACTGGAAGTCCGTCACACAAACTAGAGCAATAACGACTGGATTTCCTCCATTTAGATCTCAATATCATCATCAGTGCCTTGGGACATCCTCCCGACGTCCTTCGTTTAAAAGGATCAAAAAGCAACAAATCTTCACTTGCACCAAGTTTTCTTCCCTGGTGAAAATACTTTTGTTTTTCTGCACTCAAGTAAAAAGTGTTCAATGCTGTTTTTACGCTACTGATTTTGCTTTCAAAGGCAAGCTTGCTTAGGAACGATCTCTGATTGTAAAATGGCAATATTTTTCTGGTTTGAATTTCCAAAGCCCTAACTTTGAGTTGGATTTCCTGGTGCCTCAACATGCAGTAGATCCAAGACTATAATGAAAAGTTGCTGAGTTAAAATTGTGAGACATGAAGATTTTGTGCATTTGCGAACCATCAGCAGAATGTTTTTGTGATCTCCACAATCTTAGTCGTCAAGTATTAACTACGAAATTGCAAAACTAAAAACTGGGAGCACACCCATCTAATGTTCAGGGGCATCTCCTGGCGTCCACTACTGTTATCTGGGTATTGGACATTACAAAAACATCTAACAGCAGATCAAATATCTGAAAACATTTTGCTGATATTGAAATATTTATATGATGACATCGAGACATATGGTGATGCACTAAACATCCTTTTTTGCAGCTGGTCTCAGACATCTGGAGGTTGTGTAAAAGCGACCGAGGATGGGAATGCAATAACATCTATTTTCCACCATATTTCGGAGTCCTGTAGCTCAGTGGTTAGAGCACTCGCTTTGCAAGCGAGAGACCTGAGTTCAATTCCAGGCAGGGCAAAACCTTGGGCAAGTTTCCTTACTCCACACGCCTAATAATAATCCCTCCAAAAATCCAAAAACAATAATAAATTGGTCATTTTCAATCTACGACTGTTTGTGGGACATTGCTGTGCGCAATTGGCTGCCGCGTTCGCCCACAAATATACAGTCAATTCACTTTACAGTGTGTTCTGTGAAGCGCTTTGGGACGTCCTCCTGACGTGAAAAGCGCTATATCAAATGCAAGGATTATTATTATTATTATAGTGTAAAAGAGGGGTCAGTAGCTTTCACATGGAATCCAGCAAACTAACAAATGAAAGGATTCTCATTTCTTTAAAATATATTAAAATTCCAATCACTAAATACTATCTGTTAGTGTTCAGACACCGTCTCCCTCAGGGATTATTAATCTCTGCAATCAAATCAATAAAACACAGGCAGTCACCACTCAGATCACTTACCCTGGAGACAGGATATAATCATTTATTCTTTAATGGGGTTCCAGTGAAATTCCTGCTGTTTTCTTGCTACAATGGAAAAGATTTCCACCATCCTCTTTCAACAATTCAAACCAGCATTAGGTTTGTACCATCTGATTTGTCAACATGAATTAATTTACAAAGCAGCTTGTACAAAACCTATTTCTTTCATGCAAGATTGCTTCTGAGGAAAGCTTTATTAAAGAGCTGGTACATTTTTCAGATCTGATACTGTAAGTTAAATTTCATTTAAAGAATTGCTAGTTCATTTGTTTATCTGACACTCTCATCTCTTGAATGAATTTTAAACAATTATAGCAAACATTTCACTACAAAATTCTCTTCTCTCCTTCTCCTAGGGTGATGATTTTGGCTGAAGTAACTTTCCGCAGGTGGCACGGTTCTCTGTTACCCTAATAACAAAAAACGTGAGTGAGCACGTATTCTATCCACAACGTATTCTATATACACTAACTATCAAGGCTTCATGTGTGAGCCTAGACAGATAGTGTAGAAAGAATACTTGACCACAGGAGGCATCCGATCTCCATCATGTCCTCAAATGACCCATTTATGCACTTCCAACACAGCCCTTTCTCAGACATGCCTACACAAGAGTCTCAGCCCAGTATGAGTTTGTGTTCTCAACTGTTTGGACTGCTGAAATCTAACTTGCTGAGAAACAAATATATTTGCATTTAACATGTATTCTGACAAGTGGTTCATCTTGTCTAATAGAAGGGGTCAGATTGAAAGTAAGGTGAATCACGTTTGTTCCAATAACTGATCTACTATGGGGACATTGTTATGTGCAACTAAAATGGGGAAAATGGTACAGTTTGATTAACGTGAGCTTGGATTTCATTCCTTCTCAGCAGATCAACACTGGAAAATAAACCCCAACAAACTGTTAATTAGAGCCTGATGAAGAGCCAAAATTTTCAAATTAAAAATCGTCCATTTTAGATTAAAAAAGGGGGTGAAAACACTTTGCTGTTTTATATGTGCAACTATTTAAAAAATTAACAAACATTCATCTCATCAGTTCCAGTAACAGATCCTCTCACTCTCTGCAACATCTCATTTAATCACATTTGTTGAATTTAATGGGAGCAGTCACTGAAATAGACAACATGTGAGGGAATTACAATCCATTGTCTGCTAGCAACGATAATTTCACAAATTTGAAATTTGTTCCTGATAATTGTCTTTGCACTGAATGTTTATTTCTAATGTATTTCTTCAGAAGAATATGATGGTTATATTAAGACTTTCACATATGTGCCTTGTAAAGTTGTGCTTGTTCAGCAAGGTCTAAACTATCACAAGGCCTAACATAGTGTCTATTTTTCTGAAAGGGAAGGCCAGAGGTAAAGCTGCGCAGATAGTTGCAATCATGACATGTTTTAACTAAATGTCACAATTGAATTATGTATTTTGTTGCAATGGTAACAAGATGCCTTGTTAAATTAGCTTGCTTGCTGCACAGTGAATCTAATCTTCTATATCTATCTATATATACTAATAAAATGTCTGCCTGCGCTTCAAGAAGGATCTCAATAACTGATTGATGTAAATACATGAAATATACCTCACCAGAAAGGTCTTGCACTTTGGAGTGACATGGGCATATTTGTTTTAGAGTATCTCCTATTGTTCACAAGTTATTTCCAGTTTTGCGTTTTTCACCTGGTGGCCACCGAGTCAAATGGCGCTGTGGCATCATGCATCACAGAGTACCTACACATGTACGCACACACTGCAGTTACACCTGGTAACCATACCGGCTGACTGTGGTGCTGTGGCATCCAGCATCACAGAGTATGCAGGTAGCCAAGCGGCGGGAACAAAATAAAGAATACAGACAAAGCTAAGCCACGGCAACAACACAATTACATTTTTAAAGCGCAGAGGACTCCCACTGAATCCTCCCAAAAGGAGTCCTCCCACAGGAGTCCTCCCAGATGTTATAGATAAAGATGAAAGGTCTGTCTGAGTGTGAAACTACATTCCATACTACTCTTTTTAAGGGAACAGACAGAGATGAGAAGGTTTAAAACGGTTGCAATACTTGCAGGTTTGGACCTCAGCTCTATTTACAAAATGGCTGCCTAGTCAGAGCCTAAGGGTGTCTCTGATTTTAATGATTACAGATGTTTGCTTGCCAAATCTACCTGTAAACCAGCTGGCTAAAACCATAGAAGGCTCCTGGAGAATCTCAGTTGTGGGAATTAAGCTCACTTATTTGCAAATCAAGAATTGTGGGATTCTTAGGCAAAGCTCTAAAGATCTTTGTCCGACTTTAAGGCAGACAATTGGTCCTAAGAGATGCAAATGCAAGATGAGACAAGTTCTGCCAGGCCTACTGGTAATGAGGGAAGAAATGCGGTGTCTCCGGGACACTGGGACAAAAGATACATTAGATCTGATGCTGTAGCAAAGTTGTTTGAATTGTGGAATTCAGCACCTTGGGATGTCTTCCCAACATGAAAGACGCTATACAAATGTAATTTGTTATTGTTGTTGTTTAAAGACTCAGTAGCAACTGGGTCTCAGTGTGTGGTTCTCACAAGCACAAACCACTGCTATGCATTGCACGAAGCACACTGAACACTCATTCCGATTCTCTTGCATTGGGAACCACCCTAAGGTTTTTAAAATATAAACAGTTAGAGAAAATGATTCACCTGCACCAACTTACCACATTAAAGAAGGTGTGATAAAATCTTCAGCAATTATAACTCAGCCTGATAAAACATGGTGCAAAATAATTTGTCACCCGTATCAAGAGTTAAACCCTCAGGAATTCAATAATCTACAAGACCTAAAGAGTCTGCTCACAAAGTCAATAAAATGTGTTTATAAAATATTTGCACTGAAAATTTGAATCTTAAGTCTATAAATATTAGAAACTTAGGAATGTACAAGACTGGATGTACAAGATTACCATTTGTCTGGCCGCCGCTTTTAATTTTAATACTTTCTTACCTCTCTGTTCCCATTTTTCCCAGAATAATTGCATAACTTAAATCTCAACAATAAAGGGAAAAAAATTATAATCTTTTAAAGCGCTAACAATCCTCCTCGGATCACAACAAATAAAAAAGAGCTTCTAGAAACCGAATAAGAAAAACATTGAGCAATCTAAATGTGATGTGACTTATTTCCCAGCTCGGAAGATTTGTTCCCTTCATTTTTCTCTCCTCCTGATAGCACTGACTTTTGCTGAGCTAAAGTTCTGCAGGTGAAGGCTATATCACATTACATCATCCAAGAGCTTAATCATTAGTATAAATCATTAGTTAGGTGGCAATTGGAGAATTGTTTCCAGGTTTGGGCAGCTCCCCCGCTATAGAAAATATATCAGTCATTGTGAGGGTGCACTGAGATGACACGAGGGATGAGAAATTATACTTATGAGTGGAGACTAGAGGAATTGGGGAAGGTTCTCCTACAACAGAAAAGGTTTAGAAAAGACCTGATAGAGTCTTTTAAAGTCATAATTTTTAAAATTATAAGGGGCTTTTAATAAACTAAACAGGGAGAATGTTTTTGCACTGGTCAGTAAATCGATAACTAGAGGACAACTAGAGGTAACTACCAAAAGAGCAAAGGGAAAAGTTAGGAGGTTTTTTTTACCCCCAAAGAATTGTCAAAATATAAAACGCCCTATCTCGCATGGTTTTTGAGGCAGAATTCTTATCAACTTTTTTAGAGGGAATTAGATAAATAACTCAAAAGGAGAAAAATAAACAATAAAAGGGTATGGAGGAAAGGCAAGAGAAAAGACTGAATGGTTAGCCGTTTTAAAGAACCAACCCAGGCAAGATGGGTGGAATGACCTCCTCTATCGTGTTAATGTCTAATGTTTCTGTTTTCACCCAACATTTCTACGTGTTCTTTTTCCATCAGAGATCATTGTGGAGTCCTGTAGCTCAGTGGTTAGAGCACTCGCTTTGCAAGCGAGAGTCCTGAGTTCAATTCCAGGCAGGGCGAAACCTTGGGCAAGTTTCCTTACTCTACACGCCTAATAATAATCCCTCCAAAACAAAACAATAATAAATTGGTCATTTTCAATCCACGACTGTTTGTGGGACATTGCTGTGCGCAATTGGCTGCCGCGTTCGCCCACAAATATACAGTCAATTCACTTTTCAGTGTGTTCTGTGCAGCGCTTTGGGATGTCCTCCCGACGTGAAAAGCACTATATCAAATGCAAGGATTATTTATCATCGACAACAATTATCAGTGGAAATCTTGACATATTTTTGCGCTCAAACTTTAGGTGCACAGAGCCAATTAGTAGCATCCCCAATTGGCTCAACTCGGGTGAGTTCAATTAGTTCAGCACAAACCAGGGATTGAAACGGGTAGGTTTCCAGTCTGCATATCTCTGTTCCATTAGGGAACATTTACAACTTTGTTGATTCTCGCATTAAAAGCTTTGAATTTCTCATGAAGCCATTTAGTTAGTGTGGGCTCACCGTGTGCTTTATGTATTAAGCTGTAGCTAACTTAATTGGTCACATGGGAAATAAGCCATACTTGCTTTTGTATGATTAGGAATACATTTATCACTTAAATTGTGAAAAATTATTCAGATTAATGGGAGAAGCATGGGGAGACAGAAATTAGCAAATTATACATATTCAGAGAAAAACATAATTGTTGCATTTTTCTAATATTTTGTCAGCAGTGATCTGCCAGCCATTTTCGTATATTCTACATCAGCCACTGTGTTTATTAACTCTGGCTGTTGTTCGGTGAATAGCAACTCATTGGCACACTGTTATCTCTGACACTGAAGCTGGGAGAAAAGACTCAATGGTCAAATATTATTTCACATTAAGCACATAGTTATTCTACTACATTGTTCATACAAAATTAGGTTTGAAATTCAAATCAGATAGCAAAAATGTGCAACCTATTACAATAATATACAATCAATAAAACTGCAAACTCTTCCACTCCTTCCTGGAACGATTTTAAAAGGACTTTCATGGAATGGAAATATATTAAGTTCCACTATACAAGAAATTGAAGCCTGTTGTTTTTCACATTCCTGCGATTTTCATACTCTAACTGCATTTAGATTTGTGAAAGATGTAATGTCAGTGCTGCTTCTTGTACGCAGGAAGTGTGCATTCGCTGTGCACAGGAAATAATAGAACAACAATCTGCAGGTTGGCATTTTTTTTGCACTTTGTTATAATACAGCCCCTGAGATCAAACCCAGGCAATTGTGTTATAATGGGGTTACACATACCAGTGAAAATAAGCAGCCACCCAGTAATGCCTGAAAACAAATAGCAATAGAAAGTATCGCAGAGTGTCCAGGGCTCACCTATGTCTGAAAATACTTCAAAATAAATAAAGATTTTGGATTTTTTATAACACCTTATCACTTGAAAAT